ATCTTTAAGCGCTTAATTTTACACTTTACAGTTGCGACACTTGTTTTTGGCTCCTTCTTCTTAACGAAATCAATCTCTATCGGACCATCTAAATCTTCTTCCTCATCTAGATCTAGCGATACAACCTTGGTGATTAGAGAAGTATTGCTTGGAGATTCTATCTTTTCCTGGATTAGAGGCACTTGATTCAGTATATTAGCTTTAATAGGGTCTTGGGAGAAATGATCAGAAAAAATTAATTTAAGTTCACTTAGGAGGACTTTACAAATAGTTTCCTCCAATGAAGTTTTAGATGTCTTTTTAAGGGACGATTTCTTGAAACTAGAGTCTTGCTTCACTTTTTTTTTAACTTAGCTATGTTAATGGTGATATCACCTTCAGAATCAGAGGAATTCTTTGAACTTGTATCAGAGTCAGAACTATCACTAGAAGAAGTATCAGAAGAAGTATCTGAATCTGAATTCGAATCTACAGTAGCGATATTAACCTTACCCTTTTTAGACTTCTTACTTTTCTTTTTCTTCTTTCGAGGGCAGTTTCGAGAATTATATCCAGATCTTCCGCAGGTAGAGCATTTGTGAACTGATGATTTCTTAACAGCACGTCTAACAGCAGTTTTTATGACACTATTTAATGTTAATCCTGCTAAACTATCTGAAATATCTTCTATAGGATCATGATCATATTCATTGGCAGGGTGTTTAACTGGATTTTTTCTTAGTAAGTCACTTAAAAAGCGATTAATGGCAGTATTTTCTGCTCTCTTCTTAGATGATTTTTTACTATTATCTAGAGTTTTAGTCGCTTGAGACATAGTCTTTTGAAAGGATTTAATAGTAGACTGCAAATCAGCATTTTGTTAAGCCGTTTGAGACTCTGAGGATGCTATTGCAGTTTTTATCAAATCCACGATTTCAGTTTTAGTCATTTCTGATTTGTTAGTGTCTATGTAAGAATTGGCTGCCGGAAAAGCAGGAAGAGAAGATGGTGCATTTCTTTGAGAAAGTGTAAATTTTTCCATTTCAGCTAAGGCTCTTGTGATATTTTCCTGAGTATCCTCAAATTTAGCCATCATTCGAATATTATATTGGTTTATAGGATTTAAGCCACGAATAAATTGCTCTCTTTGTTGTTCAGGTGTCATTCCGGCCAATTTACCAACCTTTTTGATTTGAGTGGAGAACTCTTCAACACCCATATCTCCTTGCATGAGTTGACCAAAAACTGCTATTTGTTTTAAGTGTTTAACCGTCGTATAAGAAGTACTAAATAGATAAAGGAGTTGCCCAAGCTTAATATCAGGAGCAATTGTAACAGCAGAGAAACCTCCGCCAGCATTTGGTGCGACTAGTGCATTATCTGTAGGTTCACCACCGGCTATAGACCAGTCTTCATCCCATGTTCCATTCAGAATAATATCAGCACTAGTTGCGACACCTGCTCCAATTCTACCAATTTCTGCTCCAGCTTTGTTACGAAATTCTCCTGCAGTATTCA